CATCCATTAACTAACTTTTCTATATCATGATCGATACCTGACCACCAACAGTATCCCCTAGCTAAACTTTTCATCTTGGTTATTCCAAAGTGAGCAATATGTAGTTCCTCAAGAATTCGTGATTGTAAGAATTTTGGTATAACTACGCGAACCTCTCGAATTAAACAACCTTGTTGAAGTGAGAACTCTATTTGTGGCATACCGAACCGCAACGCTGATTGTATCTCTTTTCCTGTTTTTAAACCGTCTAATAAGGGTTGTAATAATTTATCATGTTCTGTATAATATTCAATTTGAGAAAATGAAACTGGTAACGTCTCAATTTGCTTGATCTCGAATAGATCTGAAGCATCAAACTGTATAAGAGATTCAGACTCTAACGGTAAGCGAGAACAAAAATCCGCATTTCCGTGTTCTTTACTAGATCTGTATTGAATATCATAATTGAATGATTGTAAATAAATCGCATAATGTTGCATTCTTGTAGCTGTTAATGTAGGTAGTGTTTTATGAGGTGAAAATATCTGTAGTAAAGGTTTATGGTCTGTAATAAGTGTAAAACGATTTCCAAAAAGATATTGATAAAACTTTCGCACTCCAAAAATAATACCGTATGCCTCTCGATCGATCTGAGAATACTTCTGCTGAGTTAATGAAAGAGTTTGTGAAGCGAATTGAATCGGCCTCTCAGAACCATCAGGAAATTTGTGTGACAGTACAGCGCCTACACTGTAAGGTGAAGCATCAGTAGCAAGTATTAAAGGTAGTTGTGGATTGAAATGTGTTAAGAAGTCACTTCCCGCTATAATTTGTTTCACGTTTTTGAAAGACTGTTCACATTCTTTTGACCAGACAAATTTAGAATTTTTATGTAATAAACGAGTTAACGGAAATAAAATTGTGCTCAGATTTCGCAGAAATCTGCCATAATAATTGACCAGGCCAAGAAATGATCTAAGTTGAGTTTTATCTTTTGGCTGTGGCGCATCAATAATAGTATTAATTTTAGCGGGTATTTTGTGTATCCCTTGAGAATTAATTATATAGCCACAATATTCGATTTTATCAGCAAAGAAAATTGACTTTTCTTTATTGATATGAAGGTCATGTAACGAAAGTCGTTGAAAAACTTGATGTAGTCTTTCTAAATGTATTGCATCATTCTCGCCTGTCACTTTTATATCATCTAAATAAACTGATACGCCCGAAATGCCTTTCAAAAGAATTTCCATTTCTCTTTGAAAAATTGCGGGAGCTGAAGAAATACCGAACATTAAACGATTACATTCATATAATCCCTTATGAGTGTTTAAGGTAAGTAAGTGTCGATCATCTGGATGTACTTCCATGTGAAGATAAGCCTGACTCAAATCCAGTTTCGTGAATTTTTGTCCGCCGGCCAAAGAGTGAAATAACTCATCAACTGTAGGCAAAGGATGGTTGTCAACTTTGAGATTTTTATTTACAGTTAATCTAAAATCTCCACATATACGAATACTACCATTACTCTTAACTACTGGCAATATCGGAGTAGCCCATTCGGAACGATTGACTTTTGTTAAAATACCTTCTGAAACTAATTTCTCTATCTCCTCATCGACTTTTGCTATTAGGGAAAATGGTATAGGTCTAGCTTTGAAAAATGAAGGTGTAACATTCTCCTTTAGTACTAATCTAGCTTGAATTCCCCTAAATTTCCCTATACCAGTACAAAATACATTGGCATATTTTCTAGAAAACTCCTCAAAAATATCAGACGATTTCGACGAAATATTGTTTACATTATCAAATAAATTTAATTTAATCTGGCGTATCCATTCCCGACCAATTAAGGGTTCCCTATCACATGCAACAACGTATAAATTCAGGTCGTAATTTATATTTCTAAATTTCACTTTGCATGGATAGAATCCAAGTACAGTCAAAGAATTCTGACAATATGAAATAAGTTTCAGGTTGGTCGATTGGTCGAGTGAGTTTGGAAAAAGTAAATCGAATTGACGCTTACCTACCCATTACTGTTACAGCTGCACCACTGTCAACCAGAAAATCAACTTTTTTGTTATCAACGATAAAAGACTGAATAAACTTTTCTCGAAACATGTCTTGTTCTGATTCCAGTGCCACAATGTCCTGGATCGTACCTTGTGATTCGAACTGACACGTATTTGTATCTGACACTTTCCTACAAACTTTCTGTAAATGGCCTTTCCTGTGACAAAAAGAACATAGAAGGTTAGTTTTTTTACAATTATTCGCAAAATGATTTTTATCGCCGCATCTAAAACAGAAAAATTTTTGTAAAATATTTTTGTTTTCTTTTGATTGTGATGAAAAATCTAAAAGATTTCCTTCCTTTCCTGAACGAATCTCGGCAGTGTTTCTTGCAGACAATTCCATTGCCACTGCTGCCTCCACAGCTCGATCCAGTGTAAGATTTCGTGTTTCCAAAAGGCGATTTTGTATTTGAACACTAAATAGGCCGAAAACAAATTGATTCCGAATTGCTGTTGTTAAATAATTTCCAAAATTACAATGAATGGATAGTTTTTGTAATGACTTCAAAAAATCTTGAACGTTTTCACCTTCTTCTTGTTTTCGCCTATGAAACCGGAAAATTTCAGCAATTTCTAATGGTGCCGGATCATAAAACTCTTGTAGGAATTTGATAATAACCTCGTATTGTTCAGTATTAGGACTTTTTGGGGTTAATTTATCGCAAATAACATCATATGTCTCAGGCCCCATATAATGTAATAAATATCGTACCTTTTTATCTTCAGAAACATTGAAAATATCTAAAGCCCCCTCAAATCTTTCAATCCATCGGGTCCATGATATTTTACTATTATCGAATGATTCGATATTGAAGGCATTGCTTATGGAGTTCTGTTGGTGTGGCCCCGTGCAAGGTATTATTGGAATATCCAACGTTCTTCTATTGCGAGGCATTGTAGATTCTTCGTGATCCTCGTCGCCAACTGTTGTATCTCCTACCACTTAGGAGTATTGAATAAATCCAATTTCAATGGAGAGCGTAATTGACATTTTATTTTAAAAAGTGATATATCTCTGACAATGACAATATTTCTAACTAGTACAATATAGGTACCTAACTAAACAGGTAGTAAATGACACTCATAACATTTATATAAACAAAAATGCTTGTTTTGATGTCCCCTACTACCCCTTAAAGTTTGTCGGTATCTTTTTGGGACACCCTGTACATAGGTCTAACATGGTTTGGTACGTTTTGCCTCGTCTTGCGCAACAAGCGTTCTGCGTCTTTTTCTACCTAATAAATTTTTCGTATTATTACCTCCTTGTCTGGTAAAATAGATAGGTCTAATGCGTCAATTTTTTACCAAATGAAATCGATTTTTTTTTTTCCATTAGTGTACTTAACTTAGTTTTGGAAAAAATTGCAGTTACGTCGGTTTTCTTCTGGAACAGCGACATGATGACAAATTTTTCCTCTGTTTCTATATCAGCCAACATCTATACAAACACAATATAAAGTCTGGCACGGCGTCATGGTAACGTTAAATAATCAATACCTGGGAAAAAAAGTGCCACTTCGCAAACTGTCATGAGTGTGCGAACATCATCATTTTTTGACAGTTGTAGAAAATAGTTATTTTTGTATCAAGTGCGCGAAATGCTACTTTGGTGATCGAGATCTGATTTTTTTAACGAGGCGCAGCCGAGTTAGAAAAATAGTTGAGATCACCAAAGTATTTCGCGCCCGAGTTGCAAACAATATTTTTTCTACAACTCTATTTAAATATCGATCATTCGAAGCCAAAATTGCATTTTCAATCAAAGGTAGGTGAATTTTAATTATTTTTGGTTTCCTGACAGGTATGTGTCACCATGACACCAGTGTTCGAACTAGCTATTTCGCGCACTAGTGTGCGAAATAGCTAGTTCGCGCACGGCGTCATGAGAACGTTAAAAAATCAATACCTGGGAAAAAAAGTGTCACTTCGCGAACTGTCATGAGTGTGCGAACATCATCATTTTTTGACAGTTGTAGAAAAAGGTATTTAATTGATCTAGCCGGCTAGCCGGCCAAAAGTCAATTTTCCAAATTTCAAAGCAGGTAGAATAAAATTGGTATTTATTACTATTTATTTACGACTAATGTATAATGTAAGAAATATACTTGTGATTTTGGCAGTATAATGACATATGTTATTCCCCCCGGGATTAATGACGAGTAGCGGGATTAATGGTCATTATTCCTCAAAAGTGTCAGTGTCAAACGTGTAGTGCTTGTGGATTTCTATTGAAAATTGTGATGGATGAAATTTGTTCATTAAAAATCTCAAATAAATTTATTTGTCGTAATGTTACTCCCTCGCCGCTAACGCGGCTCAGTTCGTAAATATTCCTCGGGAATAATAGCTATCATTATTGACTCGTGGTATAATCTACTATTAATCTCCAAAAAACTCGCACCAACTCAAATTTTTATATTTGGTCAAGTTTCAATCGCACAGTATCAGTTTAATCTCGTTGTTCTGGTTGGAGTGCTTATTTCCTTATCAGCAATTTTATTGAATGTGTTAAAAACTTTATATTTTTAGATTTAAACTTTGTGTTTCCCGAATACCAAAATGGATTTTCAAGAACCCAGGTAGGTATGTTTGTAAAAATGTATGGTAAATAAATTTTTTAATTTTTTTTTACCGTTGATAATTTTGCCAAATTTAAAGGTTTTTGTTGTCCTTCAGGGCTCGTCCCGGTATTCATTTGTATTTGTTAACGTATTTTATAGTTTTTACTAGTTAGCTACGTAAGAAGTAACCGCGGATTCGCGCGATCTTTTGATAATCTTTTTTTTACATTTTACTTGAATGCTAAAATGAATGAATTTTTATAAATATTTTTTACTTGGTCCTAATAGAATCCATTTTCTTCTAGGACCATCTGGAATGAAAATGTTTTCTCGCAGGCAGTTACCTATTTGACCTTATGAGACAACAAAATTTGCCCAGCATTACCAAAGGTTTGGAGTTTTTGGAGAATTATCTTATAGGATACGATAACTATTCAGATGACCAAATAAAAGAAGTAAAGCACAAATTTTCTTATATTAAGTCCGAATTTAAACGAAGATGGGGAATTGCAAGCAAAAAGGAACATGTTTTCTTGGAAAAAAATTCTGAATGGCTGCAGGAAAATTTTGAAATACCAAGAGCAATACATAAAACCGGAAGACCGCCCAAAACTTTTGATGGGCTAAGTGAAAGAAGTAAAAGAAGAAAAACAGAAGAAATGTGTGCTAGTGTTGATTCCCAAATGTTGACGTACGCGACACAGGTAAAATTGCGATGTGAAGGAAAACGAGACGTTTCAAAAATTGTGAAAGAAGTAACTGGCTCCCAAACGGAAGCTGAAAAATATAAGAAAGCATACTCTTGTTTCGAAAGGGAGAAGTCACGGATAACAGTTCTACAAGCGCTCTCAATGTTTGTGGAAGCGAATTTATCCCAAAAACAGTACGAAATAATTATAAGCACTGCTAAAGGTGTCTTTCCTTGCTACAGCTTGTTACAAAAAGCAAATAAGACTGCTATCCTGCCAAAGAGTCCTTTATTGTAACTGAAACCCTTGCGGAAACTAACTTACAAAGCCTTCTCAACCATACCGTTGAAAGGCTATTGATTTATTTAGAAGAGGTTCTCCAAAGTTTAGGTGAAGAGGAACGTAAATCTTCACTGTTGATTTGCAAATGGGGGTGTGATGGATCACAACAAGCACAATTCAAGCAAAAGTTTGAGAGCGAAACTGGTTCCGATACAAATATTTTTCAAAGTTCTTTTCTACCATTACAGTTAATTTGTGAAGTTAATAAAAAAATAATCTGGCAAAATCCAACCCCATCTTCGCCACGCTACTGCCGACCTATAAGGATTAGATTTGTTAAAGAATCTGTCAATACTACAAAGGAAGAGATCTCGTATGTAGAAGAGGCAACAAATTTACTGGAGCCTACAAGAGTGACACTTTTTTACGCTGATTTTTCTGTTAGGCATAAAATGATGCTGACCATGATCGATGGAAAAATCTGCAACGCTGCTACTGATATCACATCTACAATGAAGTGTTACATATGCGGTTTAACATCTAAAGACTTTAACAACATGCAAATAAATTGAGAAGTCAATACAGAGGTTCTAAAGTTTGGATTATCAATTTTGCATGCCAGAATCCGCATTTTTGAAAGCTTGCTGCATATCTCATACAAATTAACCATTAAAAAATGGCGCTTGCAATCAGAGGCTGTAAAAGACACTATAAAACAAAGAAAGAGCCAGATTCAGCATAACTTTAGAAATCAAATGGGCTTGATTGTGGATATTCCTAAGCCTGGATTTGGTTCTACAAATGAAGGAAACACCAGTCGTCGATTCTTTGCAGATCCAGAGGCAGCAGCTGAAATAACGGAAATTGATTTTAATCTAATATATCGTTTTAAGGTGTGTGACGGAACTAGCTATTACCCTTTTGTGGACTCTAGTCATTACCGCACCAGGGATGTCAAAAGTTTTTACTTTGACTGACTGTAAAAATTAACCATTAGGTGTTGGATCATTTAAGCCTTGTATTGAACTAGGGGTGCCTTGATTCTCATTTATACAAATAAAACGCTGAAATAGAATAGTTATCAATTTAATTAATAAATGAAGTTAATTCGGTTTAATCAGCAATCAAATCCTATCTAATAATTCCTATTTGGACGTCCAGTCGAACTACAAATTTTATACTAATCTAAAGTAAATAAGCGAGTAAATAAGTATCTTGATTTATAAAAAATAGTGAAATTTCATAATAATAATATCATTTATGGTTGAATGTTCAAAGAACGAGAACACAAATTAACTAATTTAAATTTACGAGAGCACAACACAAATAATTCGTGAACTTCAATCAGCTCACTGTATTCACAAAATGTTTATAATCCTTGAAGGTTCTTTTGTTTATTGAGAGTTAATAATTTGAGCACTTTTCTGCTGAAGTGTGTAAACAATAAGTGCAAGAAAAGTCTATATATATATGCTCAGTTTCTATATACAAATTTACAAATTAATGTTCATTTCACGAGTGTGAAAACCAAATTTCTGTATTAAAGGTTAGAACAAACACTTCAATTTATAGTGCATTTCAACCGAATCGGTATTCAGTATTTATTAATTTATTGTTCGACTGTTTTGAGAAATTGAAACGGTCTTACTTGCTTAATCCAGTTCATACCGGTAAATCCATATAGTGATTATTTATCCATTTATCACTATTCGTAGTAATTTGCACTGTCAGCTAAGGGATTTTCCACTAAGAGAGAGAACACAATGATATACAGAGTTGAAGCCCGTCGAGAGTGAGACAGGAATAACCTTAAACAGGCGTAGTAGAGAATTTTGCTAGGTCCGAGATGACTTGCAACAATTTAGGGGTTAATTACATGAATTGTAATCAATAATATCGTTGATAATATAGGCCATGTCAGGCCTTGAGACACTGGGAGTAGTATTTTACTATAATTCGCGTACTAACGGGGGTTTTCTGGGGGTTTTTTTTCTCTGTAGAGCGTTCAGAGGCGAGAGGGTGCAGAGTCTTTGCTTACTCTTCTGCTTCTTGATTACTACTGTTGTGTACCGTGCGTCGAGTCGACTGCCTTTTTCGGAGCAGGTCGCATAAATCAGGGATGTTGGGTGGCAACTGACCAATCACAACAACAAAATAGATCCATTGCTCATAGGGTAATGAAGAAATCTGTAATTTTACCGATTCAAAAGGGCTGCTGTTGCCAGTTTTACAGGATTCTTTTTTTAGAATATTATTTTTATGATAAATAATAGAAATTGAGATTATATTGATAAACTACAAATAATAACATTTTAAACTTGTTGTGGGTTATTTCCGCAACATATTCCCCCCCTTGAAGTTTCCAAACTTCAATGAGAGACGAAACATTAACAAAAAAAATAAACAACATATTTACAATAGAGAAAGTAGCAGGTTTTAATCCTGAATTGGTAAAGGACATACCTTTGCTATTCCTCGAGTAAAAACACCACTTTGTGTTTTCAATTTTACCACTCTGGTTTTATTGTCTCGTCCAGGGAATACCTCTAAGACTCTGGCTAAAGGCCATCTTAGAGGTGGAGTGTCATCTTCCTTTAAAAGTACTAATGTATTGGGGGTTAGATCTAGAGAAATCCGGAACCATTTAGGTCGATTTTGGAGTCTGTTCAAATAGTCCACTGACCAACGCTTCCAAAACACTTGTTGGATGTGTGAAATTTTCTGCCACATAGAAAGGCGGTTCTCATTAAGATGACTTAAATCCTTATCTGGGTGAGCCGTAAGGCTTGAACCAATTAAGAAGTGACCAGGGGTTAGAGTTTGATAGTCGTTTGGGTCGTTTGAAAGAACGCATAGGGGACGTGAGTTCAATATGGCTTCAATTTGCACTAAAATTGTATAGAACTCTTCAAACGTGAAGCGGGTTTCCCCAACCAGCCTGACGATGTGGTATTTGGCGCTTTTAATTGCTGCCTCCCAAATGCCACCGAAATGAGGACTTCTTGGAGGGATGAACTTGAATTCAGTTTCATTTTGAGAGAGAAAGTCCCTGATTGAGTTCAAATGGGTTCTATTTCTAAAAAAGTTATGCAATTCCTTCAATTGATTTTGGGCGCCTTGGAAATTGGTGGCATTGTCACTATGTATCACGGTTGGGTTACCTCTCCGGGCAATAAATCTTTTCAATGTCATGATGAAGTGTTCGGTAGAGAGCCCTGTCACCAATTCAATATGAATTGCCTTGGTGGCCAAGCAGACAAAAATTGCAATATAGCATTTAATTAGGGGAGCTTTGCGTAGCTTGGACGATTTTATTAAGAAGGGTCCGCCATAGTCTATTCCAACTTGGCTGAAACAGCGGGAGACATTCACACGCTCCTTTGGCAGACTTGCCATAATTTGCTCTGCTGGTTGAGCTCTGAATCGGAAGCAGGTAATACAATTGTTGATTATACGTTTTGTCTCCCTTAAACCATCGAGTGGCCAGAACCTTAGGCGAAAATTCGATAGCACTGCTTGTGCGCCTGCATGACCTAAACGCTCATGTTCTTGGATTAACATTAATGAGACAATATGATTATGGGAAGGGAGCAAAATGGGGTGTTTTTGATCGAAGGAGACATTAGCGTTGTCTAATCTTCCACCCACTCTTAAAAAACCATCCTTATCTAAGAAGGGTTTGAGTTTAATCAGTGATTTGTTGCTCAAAAATATGTTTTGATTCAACTCTGAGATTTCCTTTGAAAAATGAATTGACTGGAGAATTTTTGTGATCAAGTTCAAGGCTGCTTTCAGCTCTTGGACTTCGAGAGAATCTTTTGTTCTATCGAGATGTTTACATTTTGTGTTATGTGCAAATCTCAACATGTACCCTACTGTGCGTTGGAGCTTACGAAATTTAGAAGCTCGATTGAATATTCCGGGCCAAAACAGATCTTGATCTTTCTTATCAGTTCCTACTAGAGCTATTTTCTTTTCCTCAGGGACATCAGACAAACTGGGAGTGTTGCCAAATTGGGAGAGATTTAATTCAGGGTCATGAAGAAATTTAGGGCCTTGCCACCAAGTATGGCACTCCTGGACTTGGGGTATTGGCAAACCTCTAGATGGGTAATCAGCGGGGTTGTCTGAAGAATTTATATGACGCCATTTGTGATTTGAGGTGAGTTCTTGAATTTGTGCTACTCTGTTAGCCACAAAAACAGTCCAGCGCGACGCATGGGAATTTATCCAGCAGAGCGCAATTTGCGAATCTGTCCACAAATTTACAGAACTCAATGAGAATCGATCTTCGAAGATTGCGATTAACTTTGAAACCAACTTTGAGAGCAAAACCATGGCGCATAATTCTAGCCTAGGCAATGTAACTGTTTTCAGAGGAGATACTCTAGATTTAGAGGTAATCAAATGACAAGATACTGTTCCATCAGTATATAGGGCGCGAACGTAAACGCAAGCGGCGTATGCCTTGAGGCTGGCATCAGAGAATCCGTGGAATTCCATGGAACTTAATGTTTTGTCAGAAAAAAGGTATCTAGGGATCTTGAGCGTTTTGAGGAGAGGAAGATCATGTATGAAACCATTCCATTCTTGCAAGAGTGAGTCATCAGTAATTGGGGTGTCCCAATCCAACTTCAAAGTCCAAAGTCTTTGTACAATTATTTTTCCTGTCACAATGACTACAGATAAAAAACCAAGGGGATCATAACATTGAGCTATTACAGAGACAATTTTTCTTTTCGTAATAGGGGTTGTTAATTTTACTTCAGGAATAGAGACGCAGAAGAAGTCGAGAATTGGGTTCCAAATAAGGCCAAGTACCTTATTCGGGTTTTCGTCAAAATTCATATCTACTTCGACTATTTTTTCTTTATGAGAGATTTTGTCTAGAAATTCCTTTGAATTTGAACACCATTTGTGTAATTCAAATCCAGAAGCCTTTAATAAAGAGATAAGTTCGCTATAGAGTATTTCTAAATCCTTAAGGTCATCACATCCACTTAGGATATCATCCATGTAACATTGTTTCAATAGAGAATGAGACGCGAGGGGATAATCTGAGCTATTTTTTAATGCAACATCGTTTAAGACTCTAGTTGCGAGGAATGGAGCACTGTTAGTGCCATACGTGACAGTGGTCAATTCGATGCACTGAAGTGGTTTTTCAGGCTCGTCTCTCCATAAAATATTTAATAAAAAGGTCTGAGTGGGATTTATCTTTATTTGTCTGAACATCTTCTCAATATCAGAGGTGAGAGCATATTTGAAAGATCTGAAGCGTAACAATATGTCATAAAGGTCAGGCTGGACCTGAAAGCCTTTGAGAGTTATGTCATTTAGGGAAAGGCCCGTTGTGGTTTTGCAAGAGGCGTCAAAGACCACACGCAGCTTCGTTGAGCACGCACCTTCTCTAACCACAGCATGATGAGGGAGGAAGCATTTGAGCTCCAGATTTTCATTAGCAGAGGAAAGGGGTAGGAACCTGGCATGTCCAAGGTTAACATATTCATGAATAAATTTCTGATATTCATGAAAATAATCTGGGTCCTTTACAAATTTCCTCTCGAGATTG